AAAAAGTTATGATCAAGCCTCAAGGTCAAGTTGTCAAAAGTCAGAGTTGTCTTAGGTAATACACAGGGATAAAATAAAAGCCCTATCTCTTCTCATTCAAAAGGTATGAGTATTGTTAATGTTTTTCAAAAGCAGGTCAAACTTCAAGGTCAAAGGGTAAAAAATCAATGAATTTTGAAAGGTGTTGTTACAGTTAATACATTTTTATAAAATGGAAGCTTTCAAAAGTTATGGTCAATTTAAAGTAATGTTATTTTTTTAAGTGGGTCAAGCTCCAAGATCAAGGTCACAGGGTCATAAATCACAGTATATTTGAAAATCAGATGTCACAAACAAAGATGACACAAGTCCTATTTAAACTCATTCAATAGTTATTATCAAGTTTAAAGTTCTCGTGACAGATGGACAGACTGGCTGACGAATAAGGTTTAACGTCCCTAAAAAATAAATACATGTAATTTGAACATGATAAATTAAGAAGAACGAATAATAAAAAATAATGGAAAATATTAGAATATAAATCAGGTTTCCTACATGAGATTTCCTTAAAGACTTATTAATACATATTATTCAAATACATGCAATACATGTACGTTGGAGGTTCAAGAAAACGCAAGAGACCGGTCATTTCGATGAGAACATATACATCATACACAACTGTCTAGTTACGGGGTAGGTTGTGTCATAAAAGGATTAAATTCGCCTGATTCCACCTATGATTTTTTTTAAGTCTGTCTTTGCGCAGCTAGTGATTTATATTGTTTAAACAGAATTTAATTTTATGAAAAGAATTATTTTTAATGCTTATTTTTGACATATGCTTAAATTATTTACCTAATATCAATTTGAGTTTAAATAGTAAAAAGGAATTTGTCACTCAGTATTTATCTAAGGAAGTTTTTAGATCCGCCGTGGACTATCCCGGACGTGAACATTAGATGTACTTAGCCTGGTTCCCTTCGTATTCTCCGCCACTCTCTACCATCGGCTCATACTGTCTGAGAGAGAACGAACGACAACTCTGCATAGGAGATTGATTCTCCGCGTCGCTAGGCCTTGGCAAGGATGAGACAGGGGACCAGGCTAACATGTACTGGACATTCCGCCATCAAGAAAATATATATAGTTTTACTCTGCATGGACTATTCCGAGCTACCAAAACGTTTGTGTGTGTGTCGGTGTGTGAGCTAATCGGCACAAGTTTTAGAAATTAAAACGTTTATATATAGGAAAGTTTAGTGACGCATACTAATCTTTTTTTTTTCATTTATTTGTCGAGCTGCGAATAAAAAAATGTCGCATATGACTATTTGTTAACATTATAATAGGTTATGAATTTATCATGGATTTCAACACCAGTCCTGACCAGTACGTACCTGAACAAACTAACCAATTGACATTCTCGACTCTGAAGGAAAACATTGTATCATTTGAGGGAAGGGGGTTACGTATCGCGATGAGAGGAAATTTAATAATCTCTTTTAGTCCAATAAACACGAAAGAATGGCTTGAAATATTTGTTTGCAACTACATGGCTTTCTCAGAAACAATTTTGCATTTGTTAAAAAAAAATTCTAATTATTCATTTTTTTCTCTCGTATTCTGAAAGCTCGGAATGTATATATTTTGGGGGCTCCTCGTGTAAAACAGCATTTACTTAGTTACAATCATGTACCCGTAAAATAGTGTCATAGTGATATTCTTTTTATTCGAGGAAATAAAAGAAATACATTCGGTACAATACAATTATAAGTTATGTATCAATTCATGCAAAACTCAAAGTTGCTTCATTTAATTTTCGATTTTCATGAGAATTGGAAAATAATGTCACTTCCACTTACAATTTACTGTGCGCATTTGCCATGTTTATTTGTATTTGCTAATTTAAACAGCATCGCAAGTTTTTATGATATAAAGCAATTAGAATAACTTGATATAGGCCCGTATACATGTAACGATTGCAATTACTTCAAAGTGGAGGGGGTACGGGGCCTAAAAAATCCTCGTACTACATGTGTACCTTTCCAAAAGTAGAATCATCCGTATAAATCAAAAACAAGTGGCAGTATTGATATCCCCAATTTTTCAAATAACGAGACTATAACGTTCTTCACAAGGGTAGAATTTAACATTAATTTATGTACATGTGCAATTTAAATCACTATCAAAATTGGCAGAGTTATCGATAGGTCACCCTGTGTCACCCTTCAGTGTAACCGATGAACTCGTCCATAGATACCTCAGCAGATGAGAAAAGCGCGCGTAAACGCAGCACCTTTTATTTATTCGTCAAAGAATAGAATCCGACATTCAACACTTTTAAATCATGTTCAAGAAAACCTTTATATTTATGTTCAAGAAAACCTTTATATTTGTGTATATTCTTACGATTAGCGCAAATGACATATTTTTCTTGATCTTAAATCTAGGACTCTAGTAAAAATCAAAGAGCGTTAATGTTGACCTCACGAATGTATACAGTTCACTGCGCGATCGATAAACGGGTTTCAAAACCATGTGATAACTGTACACACACAACACGCACACTGTACACACAAAACTTTCACGATGCATGAATTGAATGACAATGAATTATCTTAAGCTTGAATTTATTTTAAATAAATAATGTTACATTGAATATTAATACTTAAAAAGTATTTTTCCTCTCTCCCGTCTTGTTCTTTAAACTAAACACAAGGAGAAAGTTGTCTCTGAATAATCTGTATGACATCCAGCTCGAGAATACGTTAAAAACTTATTTAAACAAAGTTAAACATTCAATTTAGCTATAGGAATATTATTCTTGTCCAGTTTATTTCAGTTATATACGTGTTATACGCATACGCACATAGAATTCTTCTTCACTTGCCGTATAAAATCACTTACCTGTACATGGATTATAAAGTTTTCTGCTCATTTAATAACACATGACTCGAACAAAATAACGTTTTCATGAGATCAATAAGATGTTAAAGAACCCATTTCATATCGATAACCATATCGAAATATTTACCGTTTTTGAGTTATATAGAGCAAAAACTTTCAAGGTCTTTCAAGGTCCCTAGATCCCTAATTTGAGGGGCCAGCCCCTTTTTAATGATGTCAAATGATAGATCTTAAAATTATGCACAATATTTGTCAAACATGTCTTAACAAATTATTTTTAGTTTAAAAGATACATTAGGAAATATATGTAAATTTTTGCGCTTTTAGGCATTCTCATTTTTGACCCCTATCTAGCACCATTTTGAGGGCAGAAATCGAAAAAGAAAAAGCGATGTGCACAACTTCAATTCTTCTAGTATTTGAATTCAGTAGGATTTCTGCTCCAGCCATATTTCATTTAAAGGGAAATAACTCAAAAGCGGAAGGGAATTTTTGAGATTTTTGAAAACATTCTAATTGAGTTTTGTAACGTTTAAAAACTCTGAAAATTTGAGCAAAATTCGTTAAGAAATGAGCAAGTTATGAGGTCTCAAAGTTGGCATCTAGGAAAAAAAAAAACAAAAAAAAGAATAATAGGGAATAATCTTAACCATCAGAATCGGTAGAAGGTCTTCCGTCTGAGCGGAAGACCTTAATAACCTTAGCAACATTTACAGTAACGCAAATAGGAACAAATTCAGTCATGCAGTTGGAACAATGAATTTAATCAGCAATGCAGTCCTTACACATGGTCAAATATGTATGTTTTTATTTTTAAATTTGTTGATTTTTGTATTGTCCCCCTGCTCTCTAGTTTATTGTTATCAAGCATCTATGTTTGACATTAATAGCACAAAAACATGAGGACTTGAGCATGTCTTCAATGTCTTGTTTATTCAATCAAATTCCTATCATTAAACCAATGAATTAATCGGATTGAATATTAGAAAATACTCTTTTACCAGTTATAATTTCAAACTTTTCATATCAATTGTGCTGTCAATTGGGTCAAAAAGAAAATAATTTGTATTATTTCTTATCAAAGAAACATTAATGACAAACCTCGTCCTCTACCTTTGTAACTCTTCTCTCTACGACACATTTATACAAATCACGTCTGAAAATTCTATTAATTATCGTTTTAGCCTCCTGGAATTTTTTAGCTTTGAAATTCTCAAAACGGATACGATCAATGACGTCATCTGTGACGAGACTATATGCTTCCATGTTTTTAATGGTGTCTGAAAGTGGCATTTTTTTCTGTTTAGTTCCCTCTCTATAATATAAAAAGATATCAATGTAAAACAGCATATGTATCACACGTACTTTATTATTTTTTCGAAGATATGTACAACAAACAAACCTAATATGTACAACAAACATACCTATAACTGTACGTCAGCTTGTCATTAGCCAAAACCAGCGCATCTGTAATCCTGTGTCAAAAAAATTAGAAGTCTACAAACAATTCAACATTTCTTTTTTAAGTACTTACATTGTCTTTTTTCATTAGGAAGAATAAAACGGAAAAGTCTTTATCAAAATCTTTCAGCAATTCAAATACATGTTTCATATTAACACTTTCATGGGTGTTGTTTTAAAAAAAAATGCATTCAAAAAATGATAGCAGTAATTGATTTTTTTGTTTGAAGAAAAAAATAAATGCAGCACTGAAAATGATTGGGCAATCGCTGATAAAAAAAAAATATGGCAAGTATAAAATAAACAAATGGTGGCAATGACCTAGCAATGACTGACAATATTTTAATTCAATATGGTGTTGCTTTTTTATTGTATTCAAAGTACACCTCCAGCAATTACACTCATACACAACTAACATTAGTTCAACGGCTTTGTTGACCGGATGCTGGTAAGCCCGGCGATGAAGGGTATAGCGTGTGTGGTACATATCGAAAATATTCATGTATTCCTGAAAGATATACCGTTATGTTTGTAATATATTTTTTTTCTCTCAAATCGTATTAATCATATCACTTTAAAAAAATCATATGATCCCAGTCGTGATCTCAAAGGTTGTTCATGATTCTGGTGAATATAACATTTTTATACAGTCAATTGATACTTTGATTAGAAATAGAAAATTTTCAAATACTCTGGTAAAATCATATGCTTTCATAAAAGACCTGCCTTTTTGGGAAACGAAATGCGGTGTCCCCGCTTGTACTTGATGACACGAGCCAGCATTATGCTTCGCATGATCTGAAAGTCATGCTTCAGACCCAGCATATGACAATCTCTAGAAAAGTAATCCCATTTATCCACGTCAATTTTATTCTCTTCATTAGCCACAATCTGAAATTTAAAATTCTATCATATTTTCCAAAAAATTAATAAACTGCAGTAAAAGAATTGTTTTTTTTTTTTCTAATTACCTCGTAAAGAAAGTCCTTTTTAGCATCTTTTTGCTTTCTGTCCTTCTTCTGAAAAAAAAGTTTCATTATAATTGATTAATAAAATAAACTTTTTAAAAACACCTCTACAAAAAGAAATAATTAGAAGCATAAATATGTAATTAAAAAAAAATTACACTGAAAAATGCTTTGGTGGCCGTCTAATTCAACGGCAGTTACATACAATTTGAATCCCTAATTTTTTATCTTCTTTCTAAAATATTGTGCATGTATGAAAATACATGAGATAGAGGGAGAGAAATAAAAGAGATAGATGGAGAGAGAAAGGAAGAGAGATGGAGAGAAAGAAAGAAATTGAGTAAGAGAAAGGAAGAGAGAAAGTAAGGGAGAGAGAGGGGAGGGGAGAGAGAAAAGAAAAAAGAGAGATGGGAGAAGGGAAGAGAGAGAGAAAGGGGAGAAAGAATTTAAGAGGGGAAGAGAGAGAGAGAGGAAGAGAGAGAGAGAGGTTACTACTGAAAACGAGAGTGAGATATAGAACAAGAGGCCCACGGGCCTTATAGGTCACCTGAGTATCATGTAACAACTTTCCATTAATTGAATTTGGTTCGTGTTTTAAACCAGAGGCCAAGAAATTCACAATTTTAAAAGAGGCACCATTGCTTATCATAATTATAAACTAAGAATGCTTAATTACTCTATTTACTTAATACCCAGAGGTAGATCAGAATAACAAAGAGAAAATACACATCCACTTTAATTAAACCCACCCCAAAGGAACCACTGACCATGGGGCCACATATTTCAAAATTTTGGAAATTTTATCATAAAATTTATTTCATCATAAATGGTAGATTAATACCAAAGAACATATTTCAAAGCATTAATTTATTTTCAGAATATGTAACAACCCCCCCCCCTACCCCTGACCCAAGGGGCATGAAATTAATCGGTTTGGAAGTGGCACTGACTTGCTCATCATAACTATATATACTTGGATCATTAGCATAATACCCAGGTGCAAAGGAAACAATTTTCAGAGAATTAATGTATTTTCACTATATAATCAAAAGAGCCCAAAAACCCTATAAACCAAATGGCAAATCCCGTGACACAGGGGCCATAAAATAAAATTTTGGAAGAGGCATTATAACTATATACTAAGCTAGTTTATATAAAACCCAGGAGCTTAGAAGATTTAAAAAGAATTAATGTATTTTTACTATATTATCATTAGAGCCCGCACTAACACCAGAACCCCTGACCCAAGGGCCATAAAATTCACTATTTTGGAAGAGGCACTCTTGCTCACCATAACTATGTACTTACTTAGTTTATTTGATACCCAGGATCAGAGAAGAAGATTCTCGAAGAATTAATGCATTTTCACTATATAATCAATACAACCCCACCTAACACCAGAACCCCTGACCCTGGGGCCATAAAATTCACAATTTTCAAAGAATTACTCTTGCTCATCATAACTATGTACTTAGTTAGTTTATTTGATACCAAGGAGCAGAGAAGAAGATTTTCAAAGAAATAATGCATTTTCACGATATAATCAATAGAGCCCCCCCCCCCCTAACACCAGAACCCCTGACCCAGGGGTCATAAAATTCACAATCCTGGAAGAGGCACTCTTATTCATTATAACTATGTACTTAGTTAGTTTATTCAATGCCCAAGAGCAGAGAAGAGCAGAGGAGAAGATTTTCAAAGAAACAAGAGGCCCAGGGGCCACAGCGCTCACCTGAGCACATCGGGGTTGAATTTACTCCCCCCCCCCCTCCAGGCATTCATCATTTGAACAAACTAGAATCTACACTACCTGAGGATGATTCCATATAAATATCACTAATCATAGCTTTGAAGTACTTGAAAAGAAGATTTTAAAAGGTTTCCCTATATATCCCTTTGTAAAACTTGGGTCGGCCATTTTGGCCCCACCCTAGCCCCGGGGGTCATGATTTGAACAAACTTGAATCTACACTACCTGAGGATGATTCCACATGAGTTTCATCTTTCCTGGCCCAGTGGTTCTTGAGAAGAAGATTTTTAAAGATTTTTCCTATATATTCCTATGTAAAACTTGGGTCGGCCATTTTGGCCCCACCCTTGCCCTGGGGGTCATGATTTGAACAAACCTGAATCTACACTACCTGAGAATGATTTCACATGAGTTTCATCTTTCCTGGCCCAGTGGTTCTGGAGAAGAAGATTTTTAAAGATTTTTCCTATATATTCCTATGTAAAACTAGGGTCGGCCATTTTGGCTCCACCCTTGCCCCGGGGGTCATGATTTGAACAAACTTGAATCTACACTACCTGAGGATGATTCCACGTGAGCTTCATCTTTCCTGGCCCAGTGGTTCTGGAAAAGAAGATTTTTAAAGATTTTTCCTATATATTCCTATGTAAAACTTGGGTCGGCCATTTTGGCCCCACCCTTGCCCCGGGGGTCATGATTTGAACAAACTTGAATCTACACTACCTGAGGATGATTCCACATGAGTTTCATCTTTCCTGGCCCAGTGGTTCTGGAGAAGAAGATTTTTAAAGATTTTTCCTATATATTCCTATGTAAAACTAGGGTCGGCCATTTTGGCCCCACCCTTGCCCCGGGGGTCATGATTTGAACAAACTTGAATCTACACTACCTGAGGATGATTCCACATGAGTTTCATCTTTCCTGGCCCAGTGGTTCTGGAGAAGAAGATTTTTAAAGATTTTTCCTATATATTCCTATGTAAAACTTTGGTCGGCCATAATTTGGCCCAACCCTTGCCCCGTGGGTCATGATTTGAACAAATTTGAATCTACACTACCTGAGGATGATTCCACATGAGTTTCATCTTTCCTGGCCCAGTGGTTCTGGAGAAGAAGATTTTTAAAGATGTTTCCTATATATTCCTATGTAGAACTAGGGTCGGCCATTTTGGCTCCACCTTTGCCCCGGGGGTCATGATTTGAACAAACTTGAATCTACACTACCTGAGGATGATTTCACATGAGTTTCATCTTTCCTGGCCCAGTGGTTCTGGAGAAGAAGATTTTTAAAGATGTTTCCTATATATTCCTATGTAAAACTTGGGTCGGCCATTTTGGCCCCACCCTTGCCCCGGGGGTCATGATTTGAACAAACTTGAATCTACACTACCTGAGGATGATTCCACATGAGTTTCATCTTTCCTGGCCCAGTGGTTCTGGAGAAGAAGATTTTTAAAGATTTTTCCTATATATTCCTATGTAAAACTAGGGTCGGCCATTTTGGCCCCACCCTAGCCCCGGGGGTCATGATTTGAACAAATTTGAATCTACACTACCTGAGGATGATTCCACATGAGTTTCATCTTTCCTGGCCCAGCGGTTCTGGAGAAGAAGATTTTTTAAAAATGCCATTAATTTTTAACAAATTCATGATTATCTCCCCTTGGAAAAGGGCGTGGCCCTTCATTTGAACAAACTTAAATCCCCTTCACCCAAGAATACTTTGTACCAAGTTTGGTTGAAATTGGCCCAGTGGTTCTTGAGAAGAAGATGAAAATGTGAAAAGTTTACGACAACAACGACAACGACAACAACGACGACAGACAACGGACAAATTTTGATCAGAAAAGCTCACTTGAGCCTTCGCCTCAGGTGAGCTAATAATACATTTTCACTATATAATCAATTAGCCCCGCCCTAGCACTAGAGCCCCTGACCCCAGGGCCATGAATTTCACAATTTTGATTGAAGACTCAATGCTGATAACAATCATGCAAACAATTTGACTGCTTGATGTCCAGGAGTAAAGAAGAAGATTTTGAAAGATTGCATTAATTTTAGTGGTTTTGGCCCCATCCCTCAGGCCCCAGGTGGGGGGGAGAGACCATGAAATTCACAATTTTTGTTCCCCTTTATCCATAAATGCTTTATAACAAATTTGGTTGAAATTGGTTCAGTGGTTCCAGAGAAGAAGCTGAAAATGTTCAAAAGTTTACGACCGACGTACGACGTACGACTGACGACGATGGACGAAAAGAGATAGCATTAGATAACCTAGATTACTCAGGTGACCTAAAAATATTAAATATACATTATCTTATATTAAATATGTTAATATGTACCCCTTTTATTAAATCCTTAATAAATTGTCTATGTTTAGAATTTTTCTGTAGGTCAAGTCCATATATTTCTGCGCATTCTTGAAGATCATGCATGTTTTGGTCGAAGATCCTATCTAGCATCTGAATGGAAGCCTCCTCATGCTGTAATAAAACATTCAGTGGTAGAAAGTATAAATAATTCAACACGCTTTAGGTTGAGAAACATAACACGCATATATATACTTTTTCAAAAAGACACTGACCTTCCACTTTGATTTTCTATTAATCCTAGGAATAAACATCAGGTCAAACAAGTGTGAGAATGCCCCATGACCTACAAAGAAAGTGTGCCTATATGTCTTGATGGAGTTTTATGAAGAGACTTTTACATTTGACAGCTGACTTTTAAATTTTCGTAATTGGAATTTGTCTCTGTTTTAAATGTAAAAGTCAGTCGTCGATTGTAAAAGTAAGTCTCTTCATAAAAAGCTATAAACCTTAATTGTAATAATTTGCATAATAAAACTTTTGTTTCGAAATATATCAATTTAATGTAAGGAAAAACAGTTTCATATATTTTTAAGAATCGAACGTCTTTTTTTAAAGTCGAATTCTTCATCAATCGAACAAATATGGCTTACATTAAAATTCAATATTCACATTAATAATAATGCATGTATTAGGATGCATTTTCAGCTCAAAATGGATCGGACAACCTCTTTCTTCAAGTAATTAGAAGACATAATTACATTACATATACATGGGTGAATGCTGAGCAGATACGTATTTACATTAGTTTATAGTATTTCATTATTTTTGGACGGATAATTGCGATTTTCTAGAATTTTAAGAAAAAGAGAAACAAACTTTTTAAGCTGGTTCAAAAATTGTCAGAATGCACTTTGAAACATACATTCTGCATATGTTTAAATCAAATTAATAAATACTACCAGTGGTAATGATTGAATCATTTAGTTAACCAGTGAGAAATAAGATCTGAATAATTAGTAGGCCCAGCCACACTTAAAATATTGACAAATTCATCATCAAAGTTTCGTTATACAAGAATGAATTAGAGGTGGAAAGTTATGTTTCTGTGAAAGAATGTCGGATTTGAAAAATGGAGAAAGAATAAGGAATAATTAATAAAGAATACAAATTAAATGTCAAGTTTTTTCTGGCAGTTGGAGGATTTACCGATTCCTACATGTACCTAAATCATGGCAAAGCCCAGCAATCTCTACACACAGGATATCTTTTTCATCTATAGATATATCTTCATTAATATTTTTATATTCTGGATCTGTAGACATGTTAGCCTTGAGAGTTCGCACAAGAAGTCCAGCTAAATAACATGTTCTGTAAGATAAGTTTTGATTAAAAATGGAGTACATAATACATCCTGAAACAGATTAGAAGTGTCTCTTTTTTACAGCTGATAGTTGTAAAAGAAAATAGTACTAGGATTTAAACACAATTTCAATTTTTTTTTGTAGGATATGGATTTTATATCGCAAGTGATAGAGGAATAAACCCAGCTGTTACATATTGAATATTTGATAGAGATAGGGAGAGAGATAGACAGAGAGAGATATATACCCAATGGAGTGTTCAAAACGTGTATGGCATGCTCCAGGATAAACAAATGAACAGCCTCCAAGTTGTTTTATAAATCTTAGTCTTTGAAACTCAGGAGTGTCGATAATCTTGACACAGACAGGATTCATCTTTATTGGACCCCATATAGGATCATTAAAAATCTGAAAAAAAGAATGCGGCAAAGCCTAATTTATCTTTTTGCATTTAAGAAAAAGTAAGACTCTACGCTCTCGGTAACTCTTTGTTCACAAATTTTCAAATGAATATCAGGTCAACTTTAACTTTTGGTTTTCCACTTGTATTTTTTTTTTCATTAAAATGAATTGAGTCAATACAGTCATAATACTCGATGACAGAGAACAAATACTGATTTTTAACATGCTTTTGATAAACTTTACTAAAATTAAAAATTACGTGTCTTTAAAAAAAATTTTTGGTGTTAGTAAGAAATGAAAATGTGTATATATTCAATTCCCATTTTTTATTTACTCGCGTACATGAAGTGTACATACTTTCCCTGGAAGGGTCCTTGTTTCCATTGGAGTTGGTGGTTCCTGCATATTTTGTGATGACTGAAAAAGACATATGCAAACATTTTTAAGAGAGAGCGAGTGCAAAGATTAGTACACAGACTATATGGAGAAGAATCCAAAACGTCTTAAATCAAAGTTTTGAACAAAAATAAAGTCTTTTTTTGCTTGGCACCAATTAGGATGGTGTAGAGGAATACATGATATTGTTTAAGATGGAGTTGAAGAGTTCCAATACTAAAAGAAATCGAGTGCTACATTTTAATGTCTAGATATGCTGTTGTACCCTTCTTCTTAAACACTTTTGGATATACTAAACATCTAGAATAAATGTTAGTATTTTTGGTATATTTTTCTTTGAATTATACAAGAATTTTCATCAATTGATATCTTTCAGAGACCCTGATCATTTGATGGCACTATAATCTTAAATTACGAAGAATATCTTCAAAAGTTATCAGTAGGTAAAGTGTGTTGCGTATGTTCTCAAAATATCTTCTAATACAGCCATGATATTTAGAAACTGGAAATACAACCATATTTGTGTCTCCCACTTACTAAAAAATTATCTTTATATTTTATCAAATGAAAAATAAGTTCACAAGTATTCAAGACTACTAGATCTTAATATCTTATCTTGTTTGTTACCGTGTATACTCGCCTATAAGTCGGTTGTATTTTTTTGAGGATATTTTGAAGGGATTTGCCATTGACCCGCTTATAAGTCGGTACAACTTTTTGCCAGAATCAGATGATAATTTCAAATTAATCCTCTGATATTTTAAACCTGATTTCAATTAATATTTTTGGAAACGAGGGTCGATTTTTAACTTTGATTCATTGAGAAAAAAAAAATGCCCTCTTAAGATTAAAAAATAAAATTATTAAATAAAAGTGCTAAATAAATTCTTGTAATTAATTTTTAGTCTTAGAATACAAACATGATTAAATTTTAATAAATCCAGACTTTGTTCATCGATAACTGTTGAAAATATTTATGGAATACATGTACCACGTTCTGCCGTCCAGAAAAATACCAGTCTTTTATGACTCGCCTATAAGTCGGACATCGACTTTTGGACTAAACTTTAACTCCCAAAAAACTGACATATAGGTGAGTATACACAATTGTCTACATTTCAGAGACTGTTTTAATGTTAGAAACAAGCTTGCTACAGTTAAAATATTTTGTAATGTATCAATGTATGCCCCGGTATGTATGCCTAACAATGTATTATTGTATGAAGTGCCTTAATGCCAATAAAGAATTGAATTATCGACGATAAAGTTTATGCATTAAGGAGTATTTGAGCCAAACTTTTAACAGTTTCAACAACTTAAAAGATTTTTTGATGTAAATAATATTACATGTATATGGTGTCAACCAGTCTACCTTTTGTCCATTTGTATCGATCGATAAATCAACTACGCATGTTATTTGCTAAATTTAAGGAAGTTATTGTTATTATAAATTTGATATTGCGTCTACGGGTTTTGTTTTATATCATTAGGCAATATTACTTTGAGATATTTTACTACATTCAGATTGTATTACTACAAGAAAGAATTACGCGCTAACTAGCTGATAAAAGAAATGAGACAAAGTTTTTGTACTTACAATTGGCAATCATCAAGTTAGACGTCCGCGCTTAAAAAAGACACAAATCAATAATGGGTGCTCTATTTCCCATCAATAAAGCACAACTATTCAAATCATTAAAAACCTTTAAAAATATCAGTAGACCATCAGTTCTATCTATATATACATGTATATATGCTAATTACACAAATAATCTCACTCGTTATTAGCAGACTTATTTACATATTCATATGAAGCAGAATTTGTCCAAAGTATTATACGTGAAATGATGAAAACACTTGCTGTTGCCTTTAACTCGACATTTAGCAATTAACAATGGTCATCTTTTCATTGTCGATCCGATATATCCCGGTGAGCTTGAAATGAAAGATACCAAAGAGTCTGACACATCTGTTTCAAATATTGAAAAAGATACTCTAAGAAGCTTCATGATAAACGTCATGACCAACTTTTCAATCGTCAAATTCCCTTATTTATGCAGCAATGAACCTTCATCACCTGCATACGTGGTTTATATCTCTAGGTTGATTCGATACACAAGAGCATGCTCTACGTATGAACAATTTCGAAAACGAGGTATATTACTGACATACAAATTGCTGAGACAAGAATATCAGCAGTCTCGTTTTAAGTAATTGTTCTATGGTCGATACAATGACCCTGTCAGAAAATACATTTTATCACTAAGTCATATGCTGATTGACGTTTCTCATATGAATTCTTAAGCCATTATATACGAATTGTCGACGGATTTTTCAGTTATTTCCAATCATGACAAGGATCATTTGAAATTGTCATCTGATTCTGACATGGGTGTGACCGATCGACAGGGGATGCTTACTCCTCCATAGTACCTGATCCAACCTCTGATATTTTTAGGTCTGTGTTTGCTCTGCTCCAATCCAATTATGTATTGATTTATGGACTTTTGACATCTCCATATATTTCATTCTTTCCACCAAAATATCTTACATAAGTTGATTTTAATAAATATCTATAGGATGAATTGACCCTTGACATCTAAGCTAAAGCTTACCTTCTTCGGTGGAAGCTGAGAAACTTTTTCATCAATTCTTTAGAAGTACTAATCGTGGTTTTTTTTCAAGCAGCAAATATAGTCTTACATGCAATACGTCTTGCAATACGTCTTGACTAAGTAATGTTTGCTAACTTCACTCACAAATCCTCGTGAAACTAAAAACCATCGAATTATTCATAAAATGCACTATTCTTACTACAAAGGATACTCTAAGACATTAACTAATACTTGAAGCGATATATATTGTATTTTGAATTTGTCTTATTTAGCTTTTTATTTATTAATTGCACAAAGAATTTGATTTTAGATGCATATCTTTCGATAGCAATAATATTAATAATAATAATCACTTATTATCTTTGATAATTGATATCATTAGATTCATAATTCATTCGCAAGTATACTTTTCTAATGATAATGGGTTTTTTTATTGGCAACGTTTCTGGATTTTGTATAAAATTTTTCAAGAACTTTTGAACAGGTTTAATGGTACGAAACATGTTCATTTCAGGTCCTTTTTACCCATCAAGCCAGCATTCCTTTAAAGATTTTGTCAAATCAATGTTTTTATAATTCTCAATGCATTTCCTATGTAAAATGTTGAAAAAATGGTCTTATATTATTTTTAACCATAAGTTTTTTCTAAAACCCATTTATTTCATAAAGTTTATACATAAAATACATTGTTGAATCTTCATTTCCGATGACAAACATATACTTTGGCTGAAATTGCAAATATAGAAACAAAACACAGAAATACCAGCACTGTTCTTTGATTTTGGGTTACTTCCCTTTACATCTAATTATTATTTATAATGATCAAGAGACTGACTGTTTGTTTCTATACTATAATTTACTTTATTTGAAAGGAGCTGTCATTAAACATTTTTGCATGGATTTATTATTCACTTTTAATGATGCCTCCTTCACAATACCTATAGAATCGTTCTAATTCATTCTACCTAGCTATCACCACTTTCAGCATAATTCTTTGCACTTCCCAGCATACATGTACTTATTCTAAATGACGACTTGTTGACTGACTGCCCCCTCGGCACAATGTAAACAAATCCATCGCTGCTTTTCTTTTATTACATATCAGATAAAAAACACACAGTGACACACGTGCTTTTGTTTACCTCTCAGTCTGCAACACACGCTTTATTGGTTTTCACCGCCTAGAGAATTCCATACGGGAGATCACTCTCAATGACTATTTTTATAAATGAAAAAACCTAGGTATAAGCCTTTTTTCTCCGGAAATCCTGCGTTGCCAATGACCTTAACCAATTCTTTTCAATTAAAACTCAGGAGTGTATGGAGAGGTAGTGATACGTAAGCTTAATTTGGACATAAAAGCACAAATAGTGTTCCTATTTCCTATATCAAGACTGTGGTATATTAACTTTTCGTTACGGCTGACTAATTCAATCTAGTCGCTGTTATGTGTTGTGTATGTAATGGATATATGCCGAATACTGTTCTATATGTAAAATTATCAGACTGTTTGAGGCCCGTTAGGGCCGAAAACTGTCTGATAATTTTACATATAGAATAGTATGAGGCATATATCTTACTTAAAACATTGCCATTTAAATGTCTAAAAGTTACCTGGAGGAGTCCGATAATAACACAATGGGAGTTCAGGTACCCATTGTTTTCTACCCGTCTAATAAGTAGATAAAAGAAATGAGACGGTAAAAAAGTGAGTGAACTCTTGTTTCATTAATTTCATTCATTCAATGGCAATGGCAGTCGTTTGGTTTAGCAGGACAGGGGTCCGGTGGTGAAAGATTTTTTTTTTGGGGGGGGGGCATTTTTATTTATGATGTGCATAAATTGACATTGATACTGACATATTTTGGGGTGATATTTTAACCATCACCATGGAAAGTAAAATGCGGATTTTTACCCTACTAGCTGAAATTTTAGATTAGATAATGGAAATTCTCAGGTTTTGAAAGTGTGGCCATCGGGGAAGAAACATAAAAGGAGATTGCAGAATCTTTTTTTCAGAAATGGATTTAAATTCGCTTATTCAAAGTGCTGAATCAAAAAAAAAAAAAAATCAGAGAGTGGAAAGTATTAATGTTGTGGAAGGTTTAAACTCAGATTTCTTTTCATGGATTTGCTATTTTGTAGTGTGATCAACTTAATTAATTTCCTTGCGTTTGGTTTCCTGAATTTTTTCCCTAACATTTTTATTGGGGGTTTCTGTACTTATTTAAGATCTTAATTTCACTCTTCTTTTTGTTTTTTAAATACCGTCCGATTTTGTTATCATTGCCGTCCGATAATATATTATCAGACTGGTAATTATTATTATCGGACGGCTACAGGTAAATTTTTAGACTGCAAGAACAAAGGCTTGACGTCACAGCAATGTTTT